AGGAGGGAAGGCGAGGGTGGCGTGGCATCGAGCGAAGTGCCCAGTCGCTGGTAGTTGTTGTCGTCTGTGGCCTGGTCTCGATCCGGCTCGCCCTCGGTCGGAGATGGCTGCCCCGTGTCCTGAGCCTGCTCGAGCCAGTAGTAAAGATCCTGACCCGGACAGTATTCCAGCACGAGGAAGAGCCAATCTGGCGTTTCGTAGGTGCGGTAAAGGGTAACGATGTTTGGATGCGACGGAATGGATTGGTGGATGGTTGCCTCCAGACGCTGCACCTCGAGCATGTCCTCAGGCAGGTCGCGCTTGCAGAGGCACTTGAGGGCAAACTCCTTGCCCGGTCGCAGGCGTGTGTTGATTCTGAGATCCTTGCGCCTTCTCTCTTCGAGGGCCGGAGAGTTGTGGAACCCATCCTCCTTGCCTTTTCCGTTCGCTTTGAGCGTGGTGCTCAGAAGATCTTCGGATGAGGCGACCATAGTTAGGTCAGCATCATCGTCAGGATGGCGGCCGTTGGCCTCGGTCGCAGACGGTCGCGAGGCTGAGCTAGGAATCGCGACGCTCTTCTGGGCCACCTGGACGGCCGCATCTTCTGCACTGACCTCCTTGACAAGGTAGACGACGGCATAGCTTCCTTCGCCGAGCTTGCGAACGACTTCGAGCTTGCTGCCTGTCAAATCTTCGTTCTGGTCGACGAAGCCTGGGGTGGTCTCGGCGATCTGGATCACATGACCGTCGTGCTCCATGCCCGGGCCGAGAAGATCGCCGACGTCGAAAACATCGCCGAGAGGACGGCCCTCGAGGGCGTACATGCTGCCATAGCGGCTCAAAGGGTGGCCTTCTGAAGCGCCATATTCCATCATGTCGGACAGATCGAAGAAGTCCTGCTCGTTGTCGTCGGTCACGACGGAGAGGCGATCTGCCTCCGAGGCTGCGGCGTCGGATGCTGCTGCCTCACGGCGGACCAGCTGAGCCCTGAGCTTGGCGAGGAGGGAGGCACTGTCGAGAGGCTGCTCCAAGAGAGAGGTGGTGTTGGGCACAAACGACGCGGCATGGCCATCGTCCGAGTCCGAAGCCGAAGCCGCCGCTGCCGCTGCAGCAGCGTTGCGCTGCTGCTGGTCGGCGATCAAGCCGGGTAAATGGATGGACATGGTGCTCTGACGGCCCCGGAGCGGGGCCCTTGCGGCATCTTCTGCTACAGGACCGTCCTCTGGAATGCTGTCCGTATGGTAGAAAGGTACGGTCGAGGGTGGTCGGCTGCTTGGCCGACTGAGCGAGATGGAGGACTCCCTAGATCGAGACAGACCACGCAGGCTGGGTGTGCGTACGCGGTCGTAGTGCGCCACGCTGGGCTTTAAGCCGGATACGCTGCCGCGGTTGCGGAGGTGAGGCGGGCGGTAGACACCGATGCGGGTCTGAACGGTAGGCGAGTGAGGGGAAAGCACGGCGGAGCTGCGCCTTGAGTGGGACATGGTGTGTCCGGCGCCGGCCGAGGCTGTCGAGGTGAACGATTCGCGACGGGATGCCGGGCCGGGCCGGCCCTGAGCCGCCGGACTGCCGAGCATGGAGGCAATGCTGCTGACCATTCGGTCGCCGTTCGAGTGAGCTTCAGCGATGACGGGAGGGTGTCTTGTCATGGGCGACAAAGTGCGATGCGTGAGCTTGGGTGAGGTGGTCGGGCTCAGCAGGGCTGGATTAGTCGCGCCGTTGCCGGCTCCCTGCCGAAGGGGGATGTTGGCCAGCACGAGGGGCGAGCGCTTGGGGGACGACTGGACGTTGACGCTCGGACCTCGGTTGAAGACGGAGGTGCCGGTGAAGCCAGTCTCGTGGCGTCCGAATCCGTGGCCGTGACTAGGACTCGGGGTGCGAGCGAGATCGCTGGAGGAAGCCTGAAGCTGTTCTACTGGACCCTTGATGAACAGAGGGGTGCGCAGATTGGATGCCTTGGCAACTTCGGCGGGTCGGTTGGAAGCGGCGAGCGACCTTTCCGTGCTGGCTTTTCGCGGCCGGTTGGGTGTGCTGGGTATGCTGGGAAGCGAGCTGGTGGGTGTCAGCATCCAGTTGTCGTTGGGGTCGGCGTCTGCCAGCCTGCTTGTGGCTTGGAAGAGGTGCTGGGCATTTTGTGTATTTTGAGCAGGTCGATGTGGTGTGGAAGAGGTGGGGAAGAAGCGCGAGCCTTCGTTGTTCTCGATGCGGAGGGGATGGAGGTGGGTGGCTGGCCCCGTTGACTGTGTCTTGTCGAGTGACGAAGAGAGGGGCCAGTGGTGGCGCATGGCAGCGAAACCGTTGGTCTTGGGGTTGGTAGGCGAGGTGCCGAACTCGGGAGAGCGACCGATGATGCCGTTGCCCATGCTGCTTGGCTTGATGGCGTGTGGAGCGCTGGGCTGGGGATGGGGATGCTGGCCAGGGATCCAGTCGGCATCGAGCATGTTGGCCTTGTCACGTTTGCGGCTGGCGGAGAGCAGAGACGGTTTGGAGCTGCCCGAGAAAGCTGCATCTCGCTTGCCGTTGGACGGCGAGATGGAGACGGGTTCCGAGCGAGCCGCAGTGTCGTGATGCGGCCTTGCGGCGGCCGTGATGGGTTGGGCGTGAGCCCTCCAATTGTCTTGGGCGCGGTCCTTGTCCTTGCGATGCGCAAGGGGTTCGCGATGGACTGGAAGTGGCGCTGGCGCTGGGTGGGGCGGTACTAGTGAGCTCGTGTGACCGCCGCGTCGCCAGCTGGGGGCGTCGCTGCTGGAGGAGTGCACTGGCATGATGGCGGTAGGAGCTTAGTGCTGATTGGCGGCTGGCGAATATGTATATAGGGATGGAGGGATGGAAGGAGAACGGTGTGCATAGCCTAAAGCTGGACAGGTTGGCAGCACTCTCGGCGCGGGTGGGACGCGGATGAGGATGAGGGTGGTGCTTTCGAACGAAGGGTCATGACATCTCGGGTCGAGACTTCTGGGCTGAGCTGCATGGGGGTGAAGCAAGGCAGAGCCAGCAGCAAGGAAAGCTGGACAAAGAACGTCGAGATGGCAGACAGGTTTGCCAAGGCTGGAATCGATGCCTGAGAAGCAAGATTGATTGGTGGACAACGGCCGAAGGAGATGACGCGGCCCAAGTAGCTGGTTGTTGATCAAGGCGATGTCGAGAGAAGGGTGGTATACAGATAGTGGATGATTGAACCAAGAGAGGTATATTTGAGCGGGTTTCCGATCTGAGCGAGGGAGTCGTGCGCTGGTGATGACCTTGGGTGCAGGGCTGCCCCAGAGCGTGTAAAGGGTGGGGGGTTTGAGCTGAGCTGAAAACACGGTCGACGTCGTTCTCGAGCTGGCCGAAAGGGTGTGCACCTGTTCACCGCCGTGAGCGAATGGCGATGAGACGAGCCGTCGCTGCTCAAGGTCGAGCGGACGAAGCAATGGGTGGTGAGGGAGAGGAAGAGGAAGAGGTCAGGGCAACGACGGCCAACAAGGGTCCCCTTGCTGTTGGGCGACCTGGCTTTGGTTGGCTGGCTGAAGCGCCATGCAGAGTGCAATGCGGCACTGCAGCTAGATTCCACCTCTCAAGAGTCACAGGCCAGCTTCCCTGTCTGTGTTGATGTGAGAGGGTCCGCCCGCCGCCGACGCCTCGCAGTGCTGTGAATTTACGCTGTTTCTTTCTTTTTCTCTCGCCCTCTCTTTTTTTTTTTTTTTTTTTTTTTTTT